AACTATAGCTAGATATTCCTTATATATCTATTATATATATATGTATGTATATGTGTGTCAAAGAGATCATGATGAAGAGTTATATATGTCATAACTTGAAAGAACAATATCAAACAAACATTCAAGAGATGTATGTATATATATATGAGAAACTATGATATGGATCTGGTGCTATCATATATTGAAGCCCTTTAAATATGAACAACGAAGATAAGTACGAGGACATGATCATATTCAAATTACTAACCATCAATCTTCAAGAACAACAATAATTGATTACCATTCACACAATATACAAAGAACCAGATCTAGCTATATACATGACCACACTAATAATACATTTACAATCAATCAACCAACACCATCTTATAATTATTAACCGACCAAATAAACATATATCTACATATATATATATAATCTCTGTGCAGTGTTATGCATTTTGAAGAGAGAGAGAGACGAAGAGCTCATAATAATCTCTTTATACCATAAGTACATATATACATATATATATATATATATATATTTGTAATCAGCTGACGGTCATATCATCTTTCACTCATCAAAATCAAGCCCAAATAAAGATGCAAAATCAAAGAAAGAGACACATATATATAAGAGATAACATACATAGTAGTAAAAGGTCTCGAACTTCAGAAAGATTTACTTTTGAATATATATGATGTAGCAAACAATCGGACCATGATGCTTCGATTCCCCATAGACGGAGCTGAGAAGAGAAGAAACTGCCATGAAATCCTCAGGAAGAAGATGAAAGGACCTTTTCCACTGACGAAATATCATGTATAAATACCTAGCTAGCTAGGTAGCCGGCTAGCTAGGGTTTCTTCTTCTTGAGTGAAGCCATGTTGATGTGATGATAGTCAGAATAATATTCCTGCAACCAGCTGCTTCTGTTTCTTCTTCTTCTTCTTTGTTCTAGTTCTTGATGATCTGTTGGTGTATGAAGTGAAATGGAAGGTGAATGTGCGGTTGGTATAGGGCAAAAGGAGAAGCAGTGATGATGGCGATGATGATGATGATGATGATGAAAGTGAGAGAGTAATGATGGTGAGAGGAGGAAGAGGGAAGAGGACATGATGATGGCTGCAGAGAGATTCTTGATGTAATTTGTTTAATTTCTTTTATTGGGGTTGAATAGATCGAGAGAGAAAATAAAAAGACCCAAAGATTTGCGTGCAGTGTTTATGTCACACAAGGGAAATAGGGTTTGCTTTGGTTCTCATCTCACATGGAGAAATAATCATATCATCAAACCCCATAAACACTAAAAAGCACTATTAAGCACTGCTCTCTTTTTCATATATATATATATATATATATATATAATACACATCAAAAAAGCCAAATCACACTCAAAGACATATGGGAAAGAGAAACCAGAAACTTGGCTGTGTTTTACCTTTCATTACCCTCATCTCTCCTATAAAGGGAAAATATTAATTGGGGAATTAATTGTAATTTACAGAAGCAGTTAGTTTATTTTCACAATCCAAAAGTATTTCCTTCTAGTAAAAACAGGTTTCTGCATGCATCATTACTTCCATCATATTGTTTTTTTTTAAAAAAAAAAATTGGGTTTAATTATGTTTCAAATTTTGGGTTCAAGAAGAGAAGTTGATTAGATGGCCTGCTTCCTATAAAAAAAAAAAAGGTAGACGGCTTTCTTGAAATATATTCATATATATATATATATATACACACAAATACATCTTAATAGATGTCCATTAACACTATATATACCTTTTTATTAATTAAGTTAACGTGACAAATATATCTTTAGATTTATTAGTTACTGCAATTAACTACAATTAGTACTCTTGGTTTTAGATTTTTCTTTAAATTTTTAAATTGATTGTTATTTTTATTTTTATTTTTTATTTTTTATTTCTTACCCTTTATTTTTCAGATAAATATAAATTATTTGACTAGTAATTTCTTTTTTAAAACAAATTGAGAGACGATATATTAAAATTAAATCAGTCAACTTTATAATGAAAAAATAATATCATTTAACTAATTATAATTAAATCAATAACATATGGAAAACTGTACTTATTTTTCCACTACAAAGACATGAAAAATTACATACAAATTATTATGGGTAGAGTGCGATGTAAACACTTCAAGGAAGACAAATCCTTAATTAATTTTTTCATTTACATCTATTGTCACATCAATTTGCATAGAAATTTTTACTTTTTAAAGTATATACATATATATAATTTTATTAATGTAAATAACTAATACAAAACTACATAATAAACCATACCCAAGAAATTATGAAACAACAGTGAGATAATAATAATAATAACATTATATTTTCAACATTTTTCTATTACATATAATAATAATAAGAATAAGAATAAGAATAACAACAATAATTGGCTGTAGCATGATCGAAGTTTCATAGGGAGAAATGAGTGAGTGATTTCTTATTATAAATAAGAACAAAAATTCAACTTAAATTGACGTAAGATATTGAAAAAATTTGCTTAGCTATTGATTTAGAGACTTTAATTAATCAATATAATCCTATGTACGTAGTTGTTGACAAATAAATTTCTGCAGATTAACACTAATAATGTGATTAAAAAGTACTCTCAAGCACTTTCTTATAAATAAGAAGTAAATATTGTAAAATCTTTTCGACATTATTGGGAATTAATTTTATTCATCAAATTAATTCAAAAAATTCTGATTCATTTGGCCTATATATTCCGGATATCCGTGAACTACAATCCTAATAAATTAATTTGGATTTGGACACACTCGAACACGCACATATACATATATATATATATATATATACATATATGTCGACATATTAATGAATGAAATTACTAAACATGCACAGCTATAAGTTTTCAATTTCCATGATTAAGTATATATGTGCAAAAATTTCATGAGGCAACATGATGATAGGAGGCATTGGATTCTTTCGCTGGTCAACATGTCACTCATATTATTCTTTCCTTTTATTTTGTCCTTACATGCTCCTCATGTCAATGATAATACATATGTATGTATACTGTTTATCCATATATATATATATATGTGTGTGTGTGTGTGTTTGTGCATATATGTCCAATTGCAAAATTTGACTTTATATACAGGTTAATCCTCCAAGTGCAAGTAACTTTACATTTGACTTTAAATAAAGTTAATTTTCTCTTCTTTTTGCTTATTACTGTGGTCATCTTCTTCTAGGGCTCACATTTTTTGTCTACCATTAAAAAGACCTACCAGGACCCAAGTCTACGCTTGTGCTTCTATATATATATATAATATATATATATAT